ACTGATAGTTGCCAAAGCAACTAGCCAACGGGGAGCCAGGAGGGGAGCTGCCGGTCTTTATGAACCCACAGCCTGCCCTTCATTGTGAACATGCAGCCTGATTTGGGGGCCTCTCCTGGTGGCATAGTGGTTGAGGGCTGGGCTGTGAAGCTGCCCGCAGCCTCTGCAGCACCAGTTTGACCTCTGGCCAGCCGGCGATGGTCCCATATGGCGTACAGACCTCTCCTGCCTCATCCGCTGCTCGCCTCAGCAGTGTATTTCGTCAGGCTACCTGTTCTGTTCCCAGCTCTGGCTCTGGTGGATCCTCTCACCCTCCCGTACATCTGGCCTGTATCCTGGTTCTTGTATAAATAAATAATCTTTGGGGAAAAAAAATAAAGTGAAGATTTTCACCCAGGAAGCTGCTGGACCCACTTTCTTTCAAAAAAAGTTTGAATTTACTTTACTAGAGAAGAAGCACGAGCACAGAGGGACTTTGCCTCCCGGCCTTCGTGACCTAATCACGTGGAGGGCTTATCTCCTCATTTTTTATTTATACATACAAGAACTGGGGTACAGGCCAGAGATGTGGGGGGTGAGAGGATTCACCAGAGAGAGTGGGGAGCAGAACAGGAGGATCTACTGAAACACTGCTGAGGGGAGCAGCGGGGAGATTGCAGGGGTCTGCCATGCCAGGTGGGCAGCTCCCTGGCTGGGTCCAAACTCGCACTACAGAGGCTGCGGACAGCCTCACAGAGCAGCGTCTGACCCTTGCTCCCCAGGGAGGCCCTGTGGTCTCCCTTCCTGAAGATCCTCTCTGGAGGGCAGAGGCTGGGAGCCCGGATTAGATCCTCATCAACTGCCCCCAGGGCACACGGTGGGGTAGAGAGACCAGCTCCCCTTCCTTCAGGGCAGCCATTCAGAAAAGGGTGGGGCGGGGTGCTCCCCTGCCAGTCAGACCCGGCAGGGAGGGGGCGACAGCGTTGGACTATGTCACCCCGCGGTCCCCAACCCCAGAGGCGAGTCCCTGAGATGAACACATGGGTGGGGATGACAGGCCCGGTGCACCCACCTCAGGTGAACCCACTTGGCACGACGCACCGGGAGACCCGTCCACAAAGGCGGGACACGGAGGGTCAAGCTCAGGAATGAAGCCCGACCACCAGGGTCCTCCCGGCACGGGAAGACGCCAGCCAAGCCCCCGGTTCCCACCTGCAGTGCCCGGGCAGGGCCCGCAAGGACCTTCTCCGCGGGCAGCCGCATGGGGGTGTTCCCACGCCCCCCACCCAGGACTCACCTGCTCCTCCGTCGACAGCGATGCCCTAGGCCCGAGGAGATGGGTCGCGCAGAAACTGGGGCGCTGAGAGGCTTGAGGGGCTCTGCACGCAGGGACTGGGGGCAGCAAAATGCTGTTGCTTCCGTGTCCGCAGCCTGGGCCACCAGAGGGGCAGCAGCCCTGGTCCCACGGTAAAGGGCTCAGCCGCTCCCCTCCTGCCCGCGGGGCTCCAGCAACCATCCCTTCCTCAAGATGCTTGGCCAGATCTTTTTAAATGTATGCTTTGTCATTCTTTTTTTTTTTTTAAACGATTTATTTATTTTTTCATATAAGCATTAGGTACACTCAGAAGTATGGGAGGGTGAGAGAATTCACCAGAGCCAGAACAGGGAGCAGAGCAGGCAGAAAGACCGAAGTACACTGCTGAGGGGAGCAGCGGGCGGCAGGAGAGGTCTGCGCGCCATGTGGGACCCTTCTCCGGTGGCCGGGAGCAGCTGGGGATCGAACCGGCGTTATAAGGCTGCGGGCAGCTTCGCAACCCAGCGCTCAACCGCTGCGCCACCAGGGAGGCCCCTTTTTATGCTTTTTCTGAGCTTTTTCTGACCCTTTCTAGAGCGGATATTTTGGGGGCTTTGCGGTCCCCCCCCTCCTGTAACAATAGGCCTTTTTAAATTCCCAATTTCGACGTCACGCCCCCCGAGAAGACGGAGGAGGCAAGTGACAGACATAGAACCGAAGGAACAGCACCCCTGGGTGGACGAGGGAGGACCACGAACCTGGGAGGAGGCGCCGCCAGCTCGGAACCCGGCTCGCGGGGAGGACGTGTCAGGGACAGGCTGACGCTCCCAAGGCGCTGAGACCATCGCGGCGGGGGAGAGGACACGCGGGTCACGGGGGCGCGAGGGGGGGACGGTCCCACCAGGTACCCGGGCGCGGTGCGACCAGCCAAGGAGCGCCCCCAACAGTGCGAGCCCCCGAGGGTGACGGTGCCGGGGCCGCCTCTGCCCTGACGGGCGCAGGCCCCAGCCAAGGTCGGGGCTTCCTTCGCACCCCAACTCTCCCCCCCACCCCAAATCCCCAGCCACAGGAACCTCCCCCTGTAAGTTCGGGACTCAGGCCCAGGGAGGCGGCCGCCCGGGCTGCCCCAGACAGTGTACCTGGAGCGTCGGGAGCTGCCGTAGCCGGCACAGGGCTCACCTCAGAGGGAAAAGTTTCCCAGGTTACTGAGCAGGGACCGCGGCTAGCGCTGGGGACATCATCACAGACCTCACGTGTGCTCCACACTTTTTCTCAGCTCACCCCGAAAGGCCGGCGAGCAGGGTGCAAAAAGTCACAAGACAGCACCCCGAGCAGCATCGAATCCTCCACCCCAGCTCTCCGCAGGAGGACGGCACCCACCAGCTCTCTCCTAAGGACGGCATGAGAGGCCACAATCACCTCACCTTAGCCACATGTCGGTCCCACAGCCAAGCCCACGAGAGTCTCAGGACACAAGCTGGAAACGCCACCTCTCCCGGCCGAGAGGACTTGACGCCCATCCCTGCTCGTGAGAAGGGGCGCATCTCCTCCTGGCCTGTCTCGGTGTATTTTCTGTCTCTTGGGATGGCCCACATCATCTTGCACACATCCACGTTTTTACAGATTTGTTTCATGAATCTACACATATTTATTGGTGTTCTTCAAAATGATATCACAAGTTAGGTTAATTTATAACTGGGAATTTGATAAGGTAACTCTAGCTCAATTATTTGGCTTTCCAAAATGCTCGTTTAACGAATATTTAAGATTTGTTTATTTATGCACACAAGAGCTGGGGTACAGGCCAGAGATGCCGGGGTTGAGAGGATTCACCAGAGACAAAGCAGGGAACAGAACAGGCCGACTGACAAAATACACTGCTGAGGGGCGCAGCAGGCCAGTCAGGAGAGGTCAGCCACGCCATGTCAGTCAGCTCCCGGCCTGCTGGGGATCCAACTTGTACACGGTGGCTGCAGTAGTTTGAGAGCACTGTGTTTAACCCCTGGGCCACCAGGGAGGCGCCTTACCTTTAGTTTGAGGTCAGAAGTGTGACTCCTTCATTTCCCCCCACTTTTAATCAGGAAAGCTTTGGTTATTTGGGGTCTCTCTCCACTCAGCATCACCACGGCGCCAAAGAAATACACCAGAAGGTGTTCGGGACCCCTGAAGGGGGAGTGGGTGCGAGAGTGACATCAAGGACTTCCTCGGCCACCACATTCCACGCTGACCACTCACCCCAAGGTATGAACTGACTAAGACAAACACCACATTAAAGACACGGCCAGCAACGGCGGAAGGGACTATGTTCTGAACAAAGAGTGAAGGAAAAAGACCTGGATTACATCGATCAGTTCCAGGAGGAATACAGGGAAACACAAGAAAGGGTCAGGGAAAAAGACAAAATTGGCAGGCAGATGACAGAGCTGAGACACGAGCAGGGGACAGGGCAGAAGAGGGGCCAGGAGGGGAGGAGGAGCACCAGGGCCTGGGGTGACGGGTCACAGGGGCGGTGCGGACAGGACATTTGCAAGAATTATACAGAAGGGGAGAAATCCAATATTGCACAAAGATGAACAATAATAAAAATTTTTTTAAAAGGCAAGAATCCTTTCCTTTGAAAAAAAATTTTGGGGGGGCCTCCCCAGTGGCGCAGCAGTTGAGCGCTGGGTTGCGAAGCTGCCCACAGCTTCTGCGGCACCAGTTCGATCCCTGGCTGCTCCTCGGCCACTGGAGGAGGGTCCCACATGGCGCGAAGACCTCTCCTGCCGCCCGCTGCTCCGCTCAGCAGTGTACTTAGGTCCTTCTGCCTGCTCCGCTCTCCGCTCTGGCTCTGGTGAATTCTCTCACCCTCCTGCGCTTCTGACTGTACCCAGTGCATGTATAAACAAAACAAACTAACAAACAAACAAATAAAACATGCCTCTATAAAAAAAAAAAAATTCTGGGGCCACTGGTGGCGCAGGGGTGAAGACTCAGCACTATAAACCTGTTCTCAGTACTGCACACACGAGTTCGATCTCTGGCCAGGGAGGTGACCCACATGGCACAGTAGACCTCTCCTGTCTCCCCACTGGGCCCCTCAGCAGTGGATTTCAGTAGATCCGCCTGTTGTGCTCCCCAATCTCACTGTGGAGAATCCTCTCACCCCCTCACACCTCTGGCTTGCATCCCAGTTCCTGTATGCAGAAATAATCTTCCAAAAAAATTCCCTTATTTTGTAGAACTGGTGTGTAGACCAGAGGTTCAGGGGTGAGAGGATTCACCAGATACTAAGTGTGGCAACAAACAGGCAGAACCACTGAAATACCTGGGTAACGGGAGCAGCGGGTGAGACAGGAGAGGCCTGCTGCGGCCATATGTGGGGTGGCTCCCTAGCTGGGGCTGAAACCCTCCCCAGAGCAGGCAATAGCGCTGAGACTTAACCCCGAGGCCACCAGGGAGGCCCCGAAAAACCTTCATCATTAACGGTAGGTAAAGACAGCTGCAGACCTCAACCTACAGCCGATAGCACACAGTTCAACTTTTCCTTCTAGAGGAGGACATTTTGGAGGTGAGCAATTCCAGCATCGGGGGGCACCACGAGGCTTAGAGTACTGGACAGAACTTGATGACTAAGTTAGAAAACCCAGAGAGATCACTTACCCACGCAACATGCAGTGTGCCCTGTAGACAGACAGCTACTGTGGACATGAATGGCATCGCCCAGGAACTTAAGAGTACACTAGAAGCAACAGCAACAGGAACAGAGACATCATCACTGCATGAACTTGGGAGAAGAGTGAACCAGGAAACTCCACGCAATTAGGAGTGAAACTGTATGTCAGTTCCCATTGCTCTCAACTGAATGATGTGGTTGAGCTCCCAAGTTTGAATATTTTTTAAATGATTTTTATTTATTCAAGCATACAAGAACCGGGGTACAGGCCAGATGTCTGGGAGGGTGAGAGGCTGCACCAGAGACAGACGGGGAACAGAACAGGCAGACTGACCGAAATACACGGCTGAAATACTCGCACCGGGCGAGACAGGAGAGGTCTGCTGCACCATGGGGCTGCTCCTGGCCGGCCAGGGAATCAAACTCGCACCGCAAAGGCCACGGACAGCTTCACAGCGCTGCGTTCAACCACCTGCGCCACCAGGGGAGGCCTGCCTGTCCACTCTTGACATTCATAGCATTTCCATCCAGTGTGGATTCTGTCATGCTTAGTGAGGGCTGACTTCCTGAAAAGTTTTCCCACATTCTTAACAATCACAGGGACTTTCTCCAGTGACTTCTCTGATGTCCAGTGAGAGAGTGCTTTCTGGAAAAAGTTTTCCCACACTCTTGACACTCATAAGACTTCTCTCCAGTGTGATTTCTCTTATGTTTCCTGAGGGATGATTTCCAATGGAAAGTCTTCCCACACTCTTGACATTCATAAGGCTTCTCTCCAGTGTGAATTCTCTGATGGTCACTGAGGTAAGTCTTACTGGAAAAAGCTTTCCCACACCCTTCACATTCGTAGGGTTTCTCTCCAGTGTGACTTCTCTGATGGTGACTGAGGGATGACTTACTGGAAAAAGCTTTCCCACACTCTTCACAATCATAGGGTTTCTCTCCAGTGTGACTTCTCTGATGTCTAATGAGGTGTGCCTTAGTAGAAAAAGCTTTCCCACACTCTTTGCAATCATAGCGTTTCTCACCAATGTGAAGTCTCTGATGTTCAGTGAGTAATGATTTCAGGTGGAAAGTCTTCCTGCACACTTGACACTCATAAGGCTTCTCTCCAGTGTGAATTCTTTGATGGTTACTGAGGGATGATTTCCACTGGAAAGTCATCCTACACTCTTGACATTCATAAGGCTTCTCTCCAGTGTGACTTCTCTGATGGATACTGAGGGATATTTTCCAGTGGAAAGTCTTCCTACACTCTTGACATTCAAAAGGCTTCACTCCAGTGTGAATTCTCTGATGCTCACTGAGGTTAGACTTACTGGAAAAAGCTTTCCCACACACTTCACATTTATACAGTTTCTCTCCAGTGTGAATTCTCTGATGGTGACTGAGGGATGACTTACTGGAAAAAGCTTTCCCACACCCTTCACATTCATAGGGTTTCTCTCCAGTGTGAATTCTCTGATGAGTAATGAGGTGTGACTTACTAGAAAAAGTTTTCCCACACTTTTCACAATAATAGGGTTTCTCTCCAGTGTGACTTCTCTGATGGTGACTGAGGGATGATTTCCACTGGAAAGTCTTCCCACACTCTTGACATTCATAAGGCTTCCCTCCACTGTGAATTTTCTGATGCTCACTGAGATAATACTTACTGGAAAAAGCTTTCCCACACCCTTTGCAATCATAGGGTTTCTCTCCAGTGTGACTTCTCTTATGTCTAATGAGGTGTGCCTTAGTAGAAAAAGCTTTCCCACACCCATCGCAATAATAGCGTTTCTCACCAGTATGAACTCTCTGATGTTCAGTGAGGGATGATTTCTGGTGGAAAGTCTTCCTGCACTCTTGACATTCATAAGGCTTCTCTCCAGTGTGACTTCTCTGATGGTGACTGAGGGATGATTTCCACTGGAAAGTCTTCCCACACTCTTGACATTCATAAGGCTTCTCTCCAGTGTGAATTCTCTGATGCTCACTGAGGTAATACTTACTGGAAAAAGCTTTCCCACACCCTTTGCAATCATAGGGTTTCTCTCCAGTGTGACTTCTCTTATGTCTAATGAGGTGTGCCTTAGTAGAAAAAGCTTTCCCACACCCATCGCAATAATAGCGTTTCTCACCAGTGTGAACTCTCTGATGTTCAGTGAGGGATGATTTCTGGTGGAAAGTCTTCCTGCACTCTTGACATTCATAAGGCTTCTCTCCAGTGTGACTTCTCTCATGTTTCCTGAGGGATGATTTCTGGCGGAAAGTCTTCCCACACTCTTGACATTCATAAGGCTTCTCTCCAGTGTGAATTCTCTGATGCTCACTGAGGTAATACTTACTGGAAAAAGATTTTCCACACCCTTCACATTCATAGGGTTTCTCTCCAGTGTGAGTCCTCTCATGTAGAACAAGAACTGACTTACAGGAGAACACTTTCCTGCACACCTGACATTCATAGGGTTTCTCCCTTGTATGAGTTTTCTGATGCACACTAAAAGCAGATTTGTGCCTGAAAGTTTTCTTACATACCAGACACGGGTAGCGCTTCACTCCCGTTTGAGATTGGGGATGTACAGCGAGGGCAGTCTTCCATGAGAAAGTTTTCATGTAATCGTTAGAGCCAAACAACTTCACTGCAGTGAGATTTCTCTGGTATCCCCTCTGTAAGGAAATCTCAGAGGTGCCCCCACACTCATCAGTTTGATCGTCTGCTTGTGATTTCTGATGTTCAGTCAGAACAGAGGTTTTAGAGGCCGCTTCACCATATCTCTTATATCCAAAATTATTCTGTCCTAACTGGGTACTCTCATGCGGATAGGTGTGAAATGTGTTGCTGAGACTGGCCCCACTTTCATAACATTCCTGCTGCTCGTGTTCAACATACCTAGGAAGATTCAAATGCACTGGAGTCATCTCCGCAGCTCTCCCCTTTTCATTACAACTGCAGGGAGTCTGTCCTCCTTGGGTTCTGTCTCGGACATCGAAAGTTGCCTCATCACTGGTGTCCCTGCACTCATTGCATTTACGGGCAGCCCCTTCCGGAAGGGCTCCTCTAGGTGAAAATATTGTTTCTTCGCTCAAGACTTTTCCTTGTTCACGAAATTCAAAAGGCTGTTGAAAGTTCTGAATCACCTGGTGATTAAGGTGCTCAGGATACTTGATGGGTTCCCTCATTCTACTAAAGACCTCCTTGTTCTCTCCAGCATGCTCTTCATGAGGCTCACCAGGGATCATTATGGTCCTATGTATAGTAACGTTCTCAGGCGTCATTGCTGAATTGTTTCCATTTTTGATATTATGGTTCAAACAATGAATTAAGTCCAAATTGCTTTTTTCCATTAAGTCAGTTCTCTCGTTGGATGGTATTTTTCTGCTGGCGGTAAGAACTTGCCACACATGTCTGCCCTGATTTGCAGGGCTGTCGTGAGTCAGGTGATCCCCAGTATGGACATCTAAAGTGAGAAAAAAGTGACCATGTCTCTAAAAAGGAAGCCTTTTGAGTGAATACTACTAAGCAGCACAAAAGCTCCTATATTACAACATAATTTACAGGTATTGATTCTCTGATTCATGCTTTTTGCCTGTAGCAACTTATGGGGAGAACAGATTTCTTGGTATTTTGTATTTTAGCATGGAAGATCTGGGGTGTAGGCCAGAGGTGCAGGAGTGGGGGTGTTGTAGGGGAGCGTGGAGACAGTGTGTGGAACAGAACAGGCGGACTGACTGAAATACACTGCTGAGGGGAGCAGCGGGTGAGACAGGAGAGGTCTGCTGTGCCAAAGTGGGTGAGCTCCTTCACTGTAGATCAAACTCAGGCCATAATAGAGAGAGCTAAGAGACTTAATCTCTAGGCCTCCAGGGAGGCCCCAATTAACAGATTTTCTAATGCCAAACCAGGATAACAAAGCAGTAAAACTAATTTCACCATGGTTTTATAAAACCATAAATATTTGGTAAAAACAGTCTTTTAACTAGAATTGTCGATTTCAACCAGAAGCATTTCACCCAACATAGATCCTACATACTTTCTTTGTTAGACTGACCCTGTGCAGCTCTTGTGGGTACTTTCAGAATAACCAAGCCCTGCAGAGGCCATGGCTTTCCCAGAAACCTGTGGACGGAGAGACCCAGTCATTGCCCAGGCACTTTAAGCAAGAGGTCTGCTGAGTCACAAGGACCCCGCTTCTCCATTTCTTAGTTTTTCTTTCCACCCCGGCCCTGGCCACGACACCTGCAGAGGTTCTCAGAAGCATGCGCTTCCCTCCACGGAAGAGACCTGTCAGTTCTTATTTAAATATCATATCACATAAGGCTCAGAATCCTAACACATGCAGCAAACTCCACCTCATCATTGTGTCCCATGTTCCCTGCTGAGTGATAGGAAAAAAGTTCTGCATCCAGCCTGTGGCTATCAGAGTTAAAGGCTTTTCCCACATGCTTTTGAGAGCAACACCCTGGTATTCTCACCGCAGTGCTTGGAACCTGCATTTCTACTTTGTTCACAGTAACTCCAGTTTCTATGTCGTGAGTGACTCTCAGCTACATCACACTGTCGTTGATTCCTTTACTTTCCTCCCAATAATGCCCACAGGGCCTCCCCGGTGGCGCAGCGGTTGAGCAATGGGTTGCGAAGCTGCCCACAACCTCTGCAGCGCCGGTTCGATCCCCGGCTGCTCCCCGGCCACCGAAGGAGGGTCCCACATGGCGCGCAGACCTCTCCTGCTGCCAGCTGCTCCCCTCAGCAGTGTACTTCAGTCCTTCTGCCTGCTCTGCTCCCCGCTCTGGCTCTGGTGAATTCTCTCACCCTCCCTCGCTTCTGACAGTCCCCAGTGCTTGTACAAATAAATAAATAAATAAATAAATAAATAAATAAATAAATAAATAAATAAACAAACCAACAATGCCCACAACAAGGTGGAATTGCACAGGTCACACTGCTCCCCAAGGTATGAGCCCCCCAACCTCAAACTCTTGGTGCCATGGCTTTAGAAATCACCACCTCAAGTTCCCCCTCCCATGTCACACAACATCCCTTCCAATGATGAACAATTTCTGGGTCCTCCTCAGCCTCACCATTTACTATGTGGGCGGTCACAAGGCTTGCCCCTGAAACACTACTCATGTTCTAAATAACTCTCCAGTCAACGCCCCTCTATCCCTTTTGAGTTGGTCACCTGCAAAGTGACATCTCCAATAGCAATACACAGCCTCTAGCCCAGACTGCAGAGGGAACTATAGATATGACATGTCAGTGCAAGCCATTCACCTCACCTGAGCTCTGAAAGAGAAGAATTAATCTCCGTAATGATGCGTATGGAGCACACAAGCAAAAACAACATCCTCCAGTTTGTTTCACTCATGCTGGTCAAACATCCTCTGTGGCTTTACCTCTCTATCAATAAATGTATTTATTATATATTCTTTCCTCACAGAGTGTATAAGTTCAGAAAGCAAAGATCATTTTTGTGAGTACTGTTGCTCTCCCCTCTCATAGAAAATTTCCAACTGGCTAAACTTCCCATGAACACACAGAAATAAAAAAATTCCTGAAAAGGTACCTGAAGAAAACAGTCTGTGAGAATACACTAAGAGAGAGAATACAGAACCGTGATTAATACAGAATAATCCCCACAGTATCAGGGACTACAGACTGGTTAAGAACATAGACAACCACCATTAAAAGAGCAGGAGGAAATCCACGAGTGAGCAATATTTGGGAACTGAATAAAGAATCAGTTTGAGGCGGTGGCGCAGTGGTTGCGCGCTGGGTTGCGATCTGCCCGCAGCCTCTGCAGCGCCGGTTCAATCCCTGGCTTCTCCCTAGCCACCGGTGCAGGGTCCTGCATGACGCGCAGACCTCTCCTGCCGCCCCATGCTCCCCTCAGCAGTGCACTTCGGTCCTTCTGCCTGCTCTGCTCCCCACTGTGGCTCTGGTGAGTTCTCTTGCCCTCCCGCGCTTCTGACTGACTGTACCCCATGCTTGTATAAATAAATAAATTTTTAAAAAAAAAAAAGAAAAGAAAAAAGAATCAGTTTGATATATGCAGACACACTGTCCAAGGTTGCACAAAGGGAAAGCACCTCAGTGTGGCCAATATCACTGGCCACACTCCCAGCCTCCTCTCAGCCTCCCGGCCTGGCAAGCACTGACTGACCTGAGAGGTCCTGGTTTGGGGGATAGTCCACAGTCCACGGCTGTACTCCCTGTTCCGACCTGATCCTCTCCTCAGGATCGTTAACACAATGCCCTGTGACGAGAAATAGTGTTCGCCTTCGATCAAGTTCAACTTCAGTCTTTGAAAACTAACAAATGCAGTGTGAAGAGCTGTGCAAAAGAGGCCAATCTGAATCTTTCCTAAAAAAAAAAAACAAAAAACAAAAACCGAAACACCCACAATGTACACTGCCTGCATGTTCAACCTCACCAGCACTCAGTTTCATAAGGAAGTGCACACTTATCGGTGCAGAAGACAGCCTTGCACTAGAGTGTTACACTGGCGCTTCCTCACCTAGGGACACCAGGTGACTTCGGGTCTCCAGCATCACATCCCAGTACAGGGTCCTCTGAGCTTCACTCAGGCACTGCCACTCCTCCCACGTGAAGTTCACAGCCACGTCTTCAAATGACACCATCCCTTCTGAGGGAACATTTCTCATCTCTGGGACGGCAGCCTGGGTCAGACAGAGTAAGTGCAAACACACCTTATTTTGTGGGTCTTTGGTCCTGTATAGGATGTACAGATCGCAGTTGAAAGAGCCTCGCCTCTACATTCACCCATTCGATCCTAAAAGTAGAACTATAGCTTACCTTATCGATTTGGAAGTGCGTATGATTCTAAGAAAAAAAGGATGAATAAAATTTGCTCCTTGAGGAGCGGATAGCCTGGTTGGCAGGTGTAACAGACACACACCCAGAATCAGGTGCTAAAGGAACTTCATAACAAATGAAAAGCATGTGCAAATTTCTGCCAACATTTTACTCCTGTGACCTCAAAGCCTGGGATCTCCAACTCACAGTAAACAAAAACCGAACCCGAAACCAGAATGTTCAAGCAAAGTGGGCGGGGAGGGGGAAAGCACAGGTAAGAGATGTTCAAGTACAAGCAAGTATAAACAAGAGATGCACATGGGGGAGGGGGGGTAGAGGGATTAGGGTCAAAATAAGGGGGGTGGGATGTATGGGGACTATAACCAAGATGAAAATGCATACATTGTGCAAAAATGAAAAATGATGTAAAAATATATATAAAATAAAATTTTAAGAAAAGACGTTCGGCTGACAGAGTCAGAGAAGACAGAACAGGTTATCACTTCTCAAATGGAAGGACAAAGGGGAGGAGAACTCGGCAATAACTTGGTGGCTGAGGTACGAGGAATGTTTTCCTAATATGCTGTCCGCATGACGGGCTGGAAGACACTGGAATTCCACACGCAACTGGACATGTGTGTGATGGATCAGGAACTCTAAGCTGAGAACAGAAATGTGGGAATCAGGGCCTTCCTGGTGGCACAAGAGTTTAAGTCTCAGCACTATGAAGCTATCGGCAGCCATTGCAACACAAATTCGATCCGCAACCAGGGAGCTACCCACAAGGCACAGCAGATCTCTCCTGTCTCCCGGCTGCTCCCCTCAGCAGTGGATTTCCGTCAGACTGCCTGTTCTGTGCCCCACTCTGTCTTTGGGGAATCCTCTCACCCCCTGCACCTGTGGCCTACACCCGAGCGTTTATATGCATACATAAAATAAATATTAAAGAAAAAAAAGAATTTGGGAATCTCCAGGATATTATTGATAGTTTTCATCACCGTAGGGGAGAACACAGTGACCAGAACAAAAGGTATCGAAAGAAGAGGAAAAACAACTAGAAGAGACAAATATTTCTTTTGGAGAAAGAAAAAAATAGATCATAGCAATGAAAGAGTTTTGAAAAATAAGACACCAGATATAAAAAAACAAACATCTTAAGAAATCTGTAAATTTATTCCATCATTTCATTTCCTGTGTAGTAAATCCTGTGCACCTCCACATACATATTGAATAGGAACCCATTAAAATATGTATCTATTTGTATTAGCTAAAAAAGGATTGAGAGGATTTTTCCTCAACACAAAACAAGTCCTTGACACAGCCACAGGTGACATCAACATTCACAGTGAGAGAAGGACTAACAAAGATGCTCAGTGAACCCTATTCACAATGGGTTCGGATGACGCTACGTAACAACAACCAGAACAACAACAAAAATACAACATAAGTAAAAATGGTCATAACCAGTTATAATCCATCGCTGGAAAACCAATGAAAGCCACAGTAAAGCGACTCTGGAAAGCAAAACCCAGTGAGCAGACTGTGAGTATAAAATACACCCGTGTTCGCACACACATGAGCTCCTGTACGCTGCCAGGGAAATGACAAAACAGTAAGCAACGTATATAGTGGAACCAAGGGTAGAGACTGAGCTGGAATAAAGAATCCCGGAGGGTTAAACAATAAATTAAACAAATGCAAAGACACAACAGCATCCAGGACACGATGAGCCTGCTGCACTGACAGCAACTCTCGCAAGGTAACCCGGCACATCCCAGTTCTAGGAAAACAAAAATTCATTTTTCTTTATAGGCTCATTGATGAAAACGCTAATACGAGAAATAAAACAGCAGCAGAGAGAAGGTGGATGGCTCATTTCTGTGCACAGAAACTCACGGGGGGCCTCCCCGGTGGCGCAGCGGTTGAGCGCTGGGTTGCGAAACTGCCCGCAGCCTCTGCGGTGCCAGTTCGATCCCTGGCTGCTCCCCGGCCACCGGAGGAGGGTCCCACATGGCGCAGACCTCTCCTGCTGCCCGATGCTCCCCTCAGCAGTGTACTTCAGTCCTTCTGCCTGCTCTGCTCCCCGCTCTGGTGAGTTCTCTCACCCTCCCGCGCTTCTGACTGTACCCAGTGCATGTATGGGCGAAGCAAACAAACAAATTAATAAAAAATAAATGAAACATGCCTCTATTAAAAATAAAACAAAAAAAAAAAAGAAAGAAAGAAAGAAACTCATGGGACCTCCCAGCAGGAGTGGGCTCAGGATGCCATAAAAGCACTGTATGACGAAATGGGACAATACAATCCCCTCGCGCTTTCGACCCTGTTCAAAATGGAAATGTGCAGCCATGAGGAAAGGACTGGAACACACAGCTCTGCAAATCACACACCCAAGCGGGTCCTAACACATGAACGTGCTCAATACGACCAGTCACGAAGGAAAAATGAATCAGAAGTACAAGAGATGAGATTTTACATCTGCTGGGATCGCAATGATTTAAAAAGAAAGAAAAGAACAAGTACTGGCAAAAATTGGGACCTGGATCCCTTGCGCACTGCTGGGGCAAACATAAATGATGCAGCCAGGAGGGAAGACAGAAAGGTGATTCTTGGGAAAAGGGAACTCAGAATGACAGGAGGACCCAACCCCCACCCCGGGGTGTTCCCCAATAGCAGGGACAGCAGGGACGGGCAGAGGCGTTTGCTCACCTATGGTCATGGCACCACCAGTCATTACAGCCCAAAGCAAAATCAACCCAAGCCCCAGGTGACGGATTAATGGGTAAATAAGACTGGTAGATACACATAAGAGAATATTAATGGGTCTCACAATGGAACTAGACAATGACACACACTACGATACGAAGGGACTCCTGTATGATACCCATGAAATGACTAAACAGTTAACAATGCAATAAAATAAGAGATTCACCAAGAAAACAAGGTGTAACAAGACTCCATTCATACAGGTCTGAGTTGTCAAACTCTTGAAAACAGAAAGTAAATGGTGGACACAGGGGCTGAGGGACAGGGCAGTTGGGAGCGAGAGTTTCATGAGTGCAGTATTTTATTACTGGGAAATGGAAAAATCTGGAAGGTGGTGACGGCTGTATAACACTGTCAGATACAAAATGCCAAAGACCACCGCATGCAATAACAGCAAAAGGAGACTTTTTATTTTACATTTAAATGAAGGGTCAGGGGCTTTCCTGGTGGCTCAAAGGTTGAGACACAACCAATGGAGCTGTCCGCAGCCACTGCAGCACGAGTTCAATCCCCAGCCAGAGAGCTACCCACATGGTGCCGCAGCCCTCTCCTGACTCGCCCACTGCTCCCCTCAGCAGTGTATTTCAATAGATTCGCCTGTTCTGCTCCCCACTCTGTCTCTGGTGAATCCTCTCCCCACCTACCTCTGGCCCATACCCCAATTTTTGTATTGATAAATAAATTCATCTTTTAAAAAATGAATGAATGAATGAATGAATGGAGGGCCACGTTTACTAGGAAAAGGAGAAAAAGAAGCAACAGTCACGCTGGGCAGAAGAGCAGCCACTGTGACTCCCCACAGTGCAAAGATTCATAAAATGAAATACTTGCTTTGTCACAGGTGACAGGAGAGCTGCTAAAATTAGATTGTAAGATATATTCATTCTAATAATATTCTATAAATATTCTATCAAAATTTAAAAAATCTACCATTAACCGTAACTATAACAAGAATCATACGTATGACTAACGACATACACCCACTGTACTCCAGACTCGATGACAGAAATGTGAAGCTCCTTATTAAAAACTACATTTAGGATCACTGACATAAAATCACAACAACCAAAGGTCAAATGATGAACATCTGTGCTACCTGGTTTTACTCAGTGAGTGTCTGTGTCATGACCCTTGTTCAAACATGTCCCACTGACCCCTGAGTACTTTCACCCCATGAACTCTGAGGTGTCACCACACTGGCCAGTCAGAGGCAGAAAAGGGAGCAACCTCATCACTGAGAAAACGCATCCATCAGGTTTGGCCAAGAATGAGAACTGTAATGTGAAAGAAAATGCACACACACAAACACACACATACACACACATACAGTGGTGCTGTTGTTAGCAACCATTAAGGTATCAGGTAATATTGAAGAATAACTTGCATTGGGTGAGACTAAACTCTGGAATAGAGAAATCCCTTTCTGCTGGCGGGAGACCTGGACTGAGAAGAATCTAATTCCACACGGGAGGGCACAACACAGGACGAGGTTTGCATATTGCATGAGCGGCACCTGCCATCGGGATGACTACAGGCGCAGTCAGGTGGGAGCCGAGCCTGTGGTAGTAGGATGGGGCAGAGGCCCACGCTCAAGTGTAACTGGCAGAAAGGGCAAAACACAGCTGACTGACTCACTCAGGAGAAGTGCAGACTGAAGACGGGAGACCAGATCGGAACACAGGGATTAGCTGCATTCAGGAGAACAAGATACTGAAGCACTCAGGGACATGGAAAAGAAATCATCAGAGAGACCATGACAGAAGCAAACACAAAGAAATTTGCATCTTCCAAACAACTGAAGACGGAGGAAAACTCTCCACCGATACGATAAGGTCAACATTGCCCTGATCCCCTCCAAAAAAAGAGCATAAAAGGGAAAAATAGACGAACAGCACCAAAGAACAGAGAAACGAAAATCCTCAAGAAATTCCACCCGACTTAATACAGCAACATGGGGCCTCCCTGGTGAAGCGAGGGGTCAAGACAAAGCACTATGAAGCTATCTGCAGCCCCTGCAGCATGAGTTCCATCCCCAGTCAGGGAACTCACCCACACGGCACACCTGACCTCTCCTGTCTCCCTGCTGCTCCCCTTAGTAAAGTGTATTTCACCAGATCTGCCTGTTCTGCTCCCCACTCTGTCTCTGGTGATTCCTCTCACCCACCATATGTCTGGCCTGTACCCCAGCTCTTATATGGATACACAAATCAATCTATAAAATTCCAAGCGGATTAAATATTTGGTGATGTACTTGACAGAAAATATAGGGACACACTACAGTACAGTTGCCACAAAGTGCACTAGGGAACACAACCCAAAGGCCCAGGGAAACAAAAGCAAAAATCAACAAGGGGCACACCACCAACCTAAAAGCTTTCATACCTCAAAAGAAAGTAGCCCAAAAACTGAAAGGCAGTCTACAGAACAGGAAAATAATCTGCATGCCACACACGTGACTAAGGGTTCATTCCAAAATTTGTAACATCCCCAAACAATGCGAGAAACCAACTGATGAGTCAATTAAAAATGGACAAAGGAGGGCCAACCTGGTGACATAAGGGGTTGGGACGCAGCCTATGAAGCTGTCCACAGCATCTGCAGCGCGAGTTCGATCCCTGGCCAGCCAGGGAGCAACCCGCATGGCGCAGCAGACCTCTCCTGTCTCCCCGCTGCTCCTCTCAGCAGTGTTTTTCAGTCAGTCTGCCTGTTCTGCTCCCCAATCTGTCTCTGGTGAATCCTCTCACCCTCTGCACCTCTCACCTGTACCCCAGTTCTTGTACGCATAAATAAATAAATCTTAATAAAAAATGGACAAAAGAACTACATAAAATCTTCTCTAGAGAGGGAATTCTGACATCCTACAGACAATAGGAATGTTCACCTTAACTTATTTTAAGAGAAATGTAAATCGAAAACACAGTTAGATGCCACCTCACCCCTTGAGAAGAACCAAATAAAAACGAATGGATTTATACAAAACGGGAGGGGGAGGGGTGGGAATTTTATGGGGAGTATAAGGAAGATAAAAATGATTCCTCTGCAAAAATGAATATAATGTAAAAATATGTAAAATAGAATTTAAAAAAGAGAAAGAGTAAAAAAAAAAAACCACATATGGAATGAAGAACGCTGGAGAGGGCACAGAGAAAAAGGAGCTCTCACCGACGGCTGGTGGCCATGAGTCGGAACAGACCCTGTGGATGAGGGTGCGGAGGTTTCTTAAGGAAATAAAAACGGAAATTCCATGTCATCTGCAATACTTCTACACATTATCCTCACGGGAAAACTCAAACACAAAAAGATTTATCCCACCCGGGAGCATAGCAGCTCTGTTCCCAACGGCCCAGTCATGGCCCAACCTACATCCCCTCAGCAGAGGCGGGGCAGGAAGGGTGGAGCACACGCAGGGGAGCACTGCAGGGCTGTGAGGAAGGAGCAAAGGGGCACACTGAGGAGAAAATGGGTGGGCAAGGAGATAATACTTTTTTTTTAAGATTTATTTATTTATTTATACAAGGACTGGGTACAGTCAGAAGTGCGGGAGGGTGAGAGAATTCTCAGAGCCAGAGCAGGGAGCAGAGCAGGAAGAAGGACCGAAGTACACTGCTGAAGGGAGCAGAGGGCGGCAGGAGAGGTCTGCGTGCCATGCAGGACCCTCCTCCGGTGGCAGGGAAGCAGCTGGGGATCAAACCGGCACTGTAGAGGCTGCGGGTAGCTTCCCAACCAGGAGCTCAACCGCTGCGTCACAGGGGAGGCCCAAAAGTCTGTATTTTTAAAAAAAGATATTTATTCATGCATACAGGAGCTGGGGTACAGGCCAGAGGTGTGGGGGAGGGGGATTAGAGCAGTCAGCCGACAGAGCAGGGAACAGAACAGGCAGATTGACCGAAATACACGACCGAGGGACGCAGGAGGCCAGTCAGGTCGGCTGTGCCACGTGGGGTACTCCACTCCCTGGCTGGCCGGGGGATGGAACTTGTGCAGCAGAGATTGCAGACAGCCACAACAGTTGCATTTGAACCACAACAGTTGCATCTGCGCCACCAGGGAGGCCCCGGGAGGTGCTATTCTTGAGTGAAATAAGCCAAAAACTAGAGACACATATCAGATGGCTTCACTCATCTGTGGAAAATAAATACCCAAAAAACATTTACAGGCAAAATACTTGAATCAAACTTGAACAGGGTCATGTGAAGGTAAAGATGACCACCAGAGGGAACAGGGGAAAGGGTGGAGAAGGTAGGGAGGGAGGCAGATGGGGATGGGCCTGGGTGGTCTGGTAGACGGGGAACAAGGGGTAGGGCAACACCCATTAGGAGTCTAGGAAAAAACTGGCAACTATTTGAGCAGAAGGCTTTTAGTGCTCCACATGTCAATAACAGATCGAGGAGGGAAAGTAATTAAAAGAAAGAGAAAAAAGTATAAGAAGGGCCTCCCCGGTGGCACAGCGGTTGAGCACTGGGTTGTGAAGCTGCCCACAGCCTCTGCAGCACTGGTTCGATTCCTGGCTGCTCCCCGGCCACCTGGTGAGGGTCCCGCGTGGCGCGCAGACCTCCCCTGCCGCCCGCTGCTCCCCTCAGCAGTGTACTTCGGTCCTTCTGCCTGCTCTGCTCCCCGCTCTGGCTCTGGTGAATTTTCTCACCCTCCCGCGCTTCTGACTGTACCCAGTGCATGTATAAATAAATAATTAAAAAAAAAGTATAAGAAGCTTTAAAACAATTATAAAAAATGAAATTTCCCCAAGGTCACACACGGTGTTCTCATACATGGCAAGAACTTTGGTAAAGGCAAAGTCTGGAGAGTGTAATTGGACCTGGGAACAAGTTAGGGTGCTGGAAAGCGGCACTAGAAATGCATGCAGACCACACCAAGGAAAAATGCACAGGAGCAATGGAAACAACGCCCAGATAAAAGGACTCTGAATAGTCTACTGGGCACCTGGGGTTTGCGGAACCCCTGAGAGAAGAACAGGGGCAGGTATGTAAGGACACCCCAGTGGACTCAAAGTCACAGGTGCCAACTGATACCTGCATGAAAGTCTCCGAGAGCGGCCTGGGACACAGTACAGGATTTCAGCAACTGCACAGAAGCCTTAAAAATTCAGTTGTCCTTTTCAAATGACTCGTGGCTCCTTCACCCCCATCTGCACTCGGGTCCTCAGGCCCATCCTCTTCCTCTTCCCTCACCCCGCACCTGACCAGCGCAGAGCTGGGAAGTGTTCCTGTCCAGCGGGGTGAAGAGCCACAGGCCACACCTTCAGCGTCATCAACGGAGACCCAGGTACAGACTCTGCGCTGCGGGAGCACCAGGGCAGAGCCCCATCTCCACGCACGCTGGACATGGGAAGGGCCTGGACCTACGCCACACCTTTCCCTGGTGAGGAATGTGTCCCTGCAGAAAACTATGTTTCTAATGTGCATGTCCGTGATGAACTCGCATAAAGTCAACGCACCGCGAGCTGAAGCCAACACGCCACTCACCAGAGATTCGTCCATGGTCGCTGCTCTCACAGACGCGCCAGGGCTCGGGAGCGGCGCTGGGGGGCGCTGGGGTCCAGCACAGAGGACGGAGGCGGCTGCCGGGGTCCGGAGTCTCCTGGCCAGAGCCCGCCACACGCTGCCTGGAGACACCAGAGAGTCACCGCGTGTGGCAGCGGGTGACACTCCTAGCAGGGCAGGAACGGCCCCGAGTCCACGCGCGGCAGAGCCTGGGCGGACGGTTCCCCACAACTTAGTAAAAGGTGACACTGCCCACTGCCTGCGCCACGGTCACGCAGGAGCAACCGTCTCAGAGCTGAGGAGTCGCTGCAGAGTGTGGACTCGACTTCCAGCGAGACGACGCCCCGAACGCACTGTTCTGCCAGGACACCCGGCCAAGGCTCCGCGCCCTTCCCTTCCTCCGCTCCGTGGGCGCCCTACAACGCCAGGCCCATGGGTGCGCACGTGCAGGCGGGAGGCGGGAATGCAGCGGCCAGCAGGACGCCGCCTGGGGGGGAACGCGCAGCGCGCCCGGAAATTCAGTCCACAAGCCCCTAACGCCCCAGGAACTCCCCCCACCCCCCGCCCTGCAAACCCAGTTTCCAGCCCACCTCCCCGCCCTAACAGGGCCCGCCTCCCCCTGGCAACGCGCATGGGACCTCTCCCGCCCCACCTCGGGTGCGCGAATCTCGCCCAGGTGCATTTCCGCGCCCCCCAGAAACGCAGCCTGGCTCTCCCCTTCTTCACCGTCCGACTTTTGGGGTGGCCCAGAGGAGTCAGCGCACATGCGCAAAGGCAGACCTGCGTTTCCCCAGAGCCCCGCTTCAGGGACCCCGTCGCGCGACCCGGGAAGACCCCGGCAGCGTCCGGGGACAGGGCCGGGAGGCCGCGCCGGGGACACCCCGGAAAGTTCTCCCCAACGGCCTCCGCCCCCGCCCCCGCCCGCTCTGGCGGGAATCGGCTCCAAAGCGACAGACTCCACCGGGCCGGGGCCCCGCTAGCCCGCGCCCCCCAACCCGCCCGGCGTCTCCGCTCACCCGAGCCCGGCCTCCCGGGACACAACACGCGCTCACCTCCGGGGGCCGCAGCGCTCCGGAGACGCGGGAACTTCCGGACGGACGGGGGCGCGGCCGCGCCTGCGCAGATCGCGGAAGCCACGCCCAGAAACCTCCGCGGGAACCACGGGGCTCGAGACTACATTTCCCACAACCCCTTGCGCCGCCCTTCGGACCACCGTTGGTGTGGGGTTGGGGCCGGGAAGTGGGAGCAGTGGAGGTTGAGGAGAATGGGCAGGTGGGCGAGGCCCCTGAAAACTGCGGGGCCCATAACGGGTTCAGGGCTCTGAAGGAAGAGAGCTCAACAGGGCCGCCCTGGGGCTGAAGGGGTTAAGCACCGCACTGACTCAGAAGCTATCAGCCCCCTCCACAGCAGGGAGCTACCCACAGGGCAGGGCAGACCTCTCCTGTTCTGCCTGCTGCTCCCCTCAGCCTTGTATTCCTCTGTCTGCCTGTTCTGCGCCCCACTCTGTCTCTGGTGAATCCTCCCCATCGCTCTCTCTCTCTCTTTTTCTCTCTCTCTCTCACACACACCACCCCTTTCGCCTGCACCCCAGCTCTTGTATGAATAAATTTTAAAAATATACATAAATTCACATACAGTCTAAATAAGACATTCAGATACCAAGATACATTTCATCAAAATCAAGATTCAGGTATTTAAGAAGCATCTTGACCTTCTGATATCAGGATCACAGAGTCGGTGTTTAACACAAAGATGCTTTGCTTACCTAATGTGAATGCACAAGAATTCCACCCTGTTATGTAAAGCTCACCTGCTCTTTCATCACAAGCTTGTGTAGATTCCTTTTGGCAACAACGTCCAATAATATTCATGCCTCCATAACTACCATGAAGACACATGAGGCTATTAATAAACTGTTAGTATATTCCCTGAAGGAGAAAATGATGAAATGAGTTGAACTTCAGCACGTTTCTCTGTCTAACTTTTATGCCCACAATGAAGTCCACGACTCCTCTGGGTGACTGAGATCAATCTTTTGAGTCAGCCACAAACAGCATCTCCATTTAGATTTTCTTCATTCAAGATACATGACACCATCATAAATGGACCCAAGCAATTAAGATGTAAACAAACTCATCAACTGGAGAGGGTCCCTTAGATGTTTGAGGCATTAAAGTCAAATACATGACTCCACGTACATACCAGGAGAAAGCCACAGAGTGAAGTGATTTAGGGCTGAATTATATTCATCAGGTCTCTTCACAATATCTCAAGTATGGTTGATAAAAAAAAGGACAAAGAAAATAACCATACAGGTCCCCAAACCATCGGCTTGAACTTTTATTTATTTTTTTAAAGATTGATTTTATTTATTTAGGCATACAAGAACAGAGGGGTAGGCCAGAAGTGTAGGGGGTGAGAGGATTCCCCAAAGACAGAATGCAGAGCAGAACAAGCAGATTGACTGAAACACACTGCTGAGGGGAGCAGCAGGTAAGTCAGGAGAGGTCTGCTGTTCCATGTGGTCAGCTCCCTGGCAAGGAAGCAAATCATGCTGCAGTGGCTGCTGACAGATTCATAGAGCTGTGACTTAACCCTCCTCACCACCAGGAAGGCCCTCAGACTTTTCAATTATGCTAATATTAAGTGTTTTAATGTTGGCTTATGCTCCATTTTTCTGACTAAAGGAATGTGAAGTGTTTCTCACTTCCTACAGTATTACAATACGTCAATATGAACCAAAATTACATTATAAATTATTTAAGCATATTTTCACTTCTTTCAAGTTTCCAGTATGAAATTCTGGTGGTTTCAAAATTCATATTTAGACAAACCACTCATCACTTTTCATTCACAGTTTCTCTTGGTTTGCACTCTCTGATGTTTACGATGATCTGACTTCTGGTTAATCACTTTGACACTTCTGGTTAAACTTCTGGACTTCTGGTTAAAGACACCAAAGTTGGGACCTCACTAGTGGAACAAGGGGTTAAGACACAACCTATGAAGCTATACACAGCCACTGCAGTACAAGCTGGATTCCCGATCAGGGAGCTACCCACATGGTGCAGCATATCCCTCCTGTCTCACCTGCTGCTCCCCTCAGCATTGTATTTCACTCAATCTACCTGTTCTGTTCCCCAGTCTGTCTCTGATGAATGCTCTCACACAACCCCACCTCTGGAAGATACCCCAGTTCTTGCATGCATAATAAATCTTGAAAAAAAGAGACTAAAGTGAAAAAATTGACTTCACAATTTTAACATTTCTCTCTGATGTGAATTCTCTAATATAGAGTAACATTTGACTTGCGGTGAAAGGCTTTGCCACATTCTTCACATTTGCAAAGTTTGTCCCCAGTATGATTCTGTGATGTTGACTAAAAGTGATGGATGGTAGAAGGATTTGTCCACATTCTTCACATCTCAAAGGTTTCTCCCCAGTAAGAATTCTATGATGTCAAGTAATACATGACTTATTGTTAAAGGCTTTGCCACATCCTTCACAATTGTAAGGTTTCTCCTCAGTATGAATTCTGTGATGCTGACTAAGATAGTTAAAGGCTGACAGTTGGTTAAAGGCTTTCCCACATTCCTCACATCTGTAAGGTTTCTCCCCAGTATGAACTCTCCAGTGTCGGGAAAGGTGACACAGCACAGGAAGGTGTTACTACAGTCAGTACGCATGTAGGCTTTTCTCCAGCATGAATCCTTAGATGGTTAGTCAGCTGTGGATGCCACTACAAGGCTTTACCATGCTCTTCACATTGTGAGGTTTCCCTCTCTGATGTTCAGTACGTCTTGGGCACCATTTAGTAGCTTTGCCAAATCCTTTACAATTGTAGTTTCTCATGAAGTGCATGATGCTAGAAAAGTATTGAGGACTCCTCAATAGGATCCTGTGTAGACTTTTCATCGTCCTTGACTGAAAGTTTAAATCTATCCAACACTGACAATATTTTGAGTAATCATTTGCAATATGGACTAAGGGAGTTCCCATATGTTCCCACATACTTCTCAGAGATTGTGTCTTATGAAAAATGTCACATGGAACTTTGCTAACAAAACATATTTATCTCTCCCTGCAACAGACATAAAATGGAGTTTGACCCAACATGGTTTACACGCAGGATCACTTTATACGGGAGGAATTGTGTTATGGATAATTGTCCCTTATTGGGAATCTTCATTGCAACAACTGTTGTGGCCTTCACATGCCTCTTGACATGTCTGGTCTATCAATAATTGTAAATTCTCAAAGGTGCCGATTCCATCTCCACCAGGTCCCACATTTTGCAACAAATCTTCTGTGCCTGACTGTGGCATGGAGACCTGGTTGTCTTGAGAAGACAGGGCAGGAAGACAACGAGGAATAACTAGCCCACGCACAGCACTCAAGACAAAAATACTTTAAATATTTAATACATAAAATGAATACCATATAAAGACCTCCGACATAATGCTTGGATAGGTAACATCAGCACTAGACAGCAACACAGGCTGATGCATAGGTAACGTCCTTAGGGAAAGGTAAATACATAGCAAATACAGATATAACCCTATAGTCAAAATATTGTTTCTGCTTCACAATTTGGAAATATTGCACCAAAAAAAAATCATAGATTCATGTTATGGAATACAAATATCATGAGATATAATTTGTGATGTCAGTAGGGGTAGAAATGTTAAAGAGTGGAGTTTTGGTATGCAGCTGAATTTACATGGTTTTCACTTTAGAAAAGACTGTCATAACTTTTCAACATGCTATGGAATCCCCAGGAGAAAAAGATACCGTAAAATACATGGAAAACAAATGAAAACAGAGACTGATGTGATGTGTACATAGGTTGGATGACAATGCTTTACAATGTTTATAAATAACATTACAAACCAATATACCTCCATTAACATCAAAATGTGTGAAAGTGGAGGGAAATCACCAACAAGAAAGGAGAGAGGAATTAAAGCATATAAGAAAAGGTCAAAAAATATACAGTGATGCAGTAAGTTGGAAATGGGGTATAAAATGGCTGAGAATACTGCATCTGCAGTGGCGCAGCGGTTGAGCGCTGGGCTGCGAAGCTGCCTGCACCCTCTACAGCGACAGTTAGATCTCTGGCTGC